AATGCAAAGATATAATACGTACCGATTGCATTGTTTGGTAATTTTATAATTGTTCTTGTATCGAGAGGTATTAAATTTATAGCTAAGTATTAATTACCGTCTTTATTTTTATATGTATATATTTTATCACTTATTTTGGAAATAATACTTATGTAAGACATAATATGTATGAATCATTTATAAACAGTTATCTTACTAATATTATAAATGTGAAAGTTTAGATGGATGTTTGGATGTTTGTTACTTCATCACGCCATCCATCACAGAGATAGATTGTAGTGTGTAATAGCACATAGGCTACTTTCCCGGAAAAATGTACGGTTCCCGAGGGATAGATTTGATTTTGTTTTTTTAGCATCAATTTTATTTTAGCATCGATTAAATCACAAACATTCTTTAATGATGAGTAATAATTCTTACTTACAATTTTATTTAAATTGGGTTCATGTTTTACATTGAAATAGGGTTGCGCAAGTTCGATTGCTAAAAACATTGCCAATAACAATGTCAATAGATAACCCAATAAATAGTTTTTTTTTCACGTATTAAAGCTACATAATTTATTAATACTAAAGAGCTCCCGATTCCATATTTCTCTATCTAGGGTACAAGCTGACTTTGTAAACAACGTGAACCAATAAAATATATAATTAATAGAATAGAAACCAGACCAAGTTAATTTATACGTATCATTCTTCAAAACAATTCGCGTTTGTTACAAGTTTTTACCTAATTACAAAATGGATGAGATTTTTAATACAATTTTTTTTATATAAGTAAGTACTAGCGACACACGCTCGCTTCGCTCGTGTTTGTACGTCCCTAGGTACGTTTTAACTGTTAATATGAAATACAAATCTTTGAATTTCTCTGCATTTCTGTACTATAATATGCATGTATTATACATATAAAGTTGAATAGTTTAAAAGATCTAAAGGTACAGACAGCGTAAACGACATTTTATACTATGTAAAGATATAGTATGTTATGCTTAAGAGATAGACATATGCCATCGCGGACTTTTCTGTAGACGTATATAAGATACACAATTCCACCATACATTATTTTGTTATATCTCAAAGGGTTTTTAGGCTGCGTTTTGCGTTGAAAGCTCCCGGACGGCTTATTTTTTTCCGACACATCTAACAAATATCGTTATATTTTAGCCAATGTCTACAAAAACTTAACAAATTACGAGTATATGCTAAAACCTTCCTCAAGAACCACTCTATCCATTAGTGAAAACAGCAAAAAAATCGGTACAGTAGTTTTTGAGTTTATAGCGAACAGACAGACAGAGAGACGCGGCGGAGGACTTTGTTTTGTAATGTGTAGTGATGTCATGCGATCGATATCTTTTTTTTAAATTGTATTTAGGATCTCCAATAAACGATACACACAATATACAACATCATATAAAAACAAAAAGCAAATAAGATTCACAAGACCTGTGCTCCTTCACTTATAAGAGGCCACAGCTTGCTCAATAATGTATTATGAGTTATAACTAAGTTTAAACTAAGAAAAAATTAAGGTAGGTACATTTCGAGGAACAAATCTGAAACTACATATAGAGATACAAAAAAAAAGAAACAAATCATATCACAACACATTTCTACTAAAGTTGCGATAAGAATTTGGTAATACTACTTTTAAATTCTAACATATTAGTGGAAAAGATATCTAATTCAACATGTTGTTTAGAAAGCGTATTATACTGTCTTGGCATGTTAATAACCGATGTTTATGTTTTTTCAATATTAATCGGCTATAATTCGAGGGTAGCCTCATATAAACCAAGAATCGCTGACATTTTGAAGTCATTGTTCCATTTTAGTTAGTAAGTGAAATATATGTATAATAATGTTTACTTAATTATATGAAAATAGGTCGTGGCAAACCCAGTGGTAATGCGCTCGCTTGGGAAACCGAATGAAGCGGGTTCAAATTGGCAGCTGTGGGACATTAAAATGGGCTTAATACACACGTAACCTATTCAGAATTTTTTGTGCTACAATAAAGTAAGAAATAATGTTAGAAAAAATGGCGATGTAACACGTTTGCGCGTTATGTATTGGAGATCAGTGTCTTGGCCAGAGGTCGTAAGGTCTAAACCAACCTACCCAACCGACTAGACCTATAACAATATTTCACCATACTAAAAGAAAGTTTCAATTTCAATGGAAAGTTCTCAGAAATATTGAGTCATTGAATTTCCCCTATCGAAATGAAGCCGGAATATATTAAAAACAATCAGATTACACTGATTTTGCAGAAGGAAATCCTATATAAGGTTTTAATATCCTGTCTGTCGAACTAAGTTTTTTTTTTATTGAGTAGATATATGTATGTTAATGTAGTTTTTAAAATTTATAAAAATTTCAATACCTACAAGTTTTATTGTCATAAAAAAATGATATTTGTTATGGTATGGTGAAGTGACCTTCTAATTTTATAATAAATACGATGTTTTTTTTAACAAATCGTCGCCGTCGTTATAAATAAAAATAAATAACAATACACTTCATTATAAAAGCACTCGGTCATCGGAACTGAACGGTTCCGAAAAGCTGGCGTGTGCGATCAACCGTTTAAATATTGAGTTCAACTGAATGGCGGGTGTGGTTTAAACTTAAACTAGCTAGAGACGGCGGCGTTGCTCACTTATGTTAATATAATAATAAATAAAATAAAACTATGAATTATACGGCCACAATCCCATAAAAATTGAATTTTCACATTAAAATATACATAATAGTATTTCATACTCGTATAACTTTCTTGCAACTGCTTAATATCCCATAGGATGTTCCATGTATTGAGACCAAAAGTACGTAATGTCTTTTTAAAGGTACACTGAATCTATACATATAATAAAATTGTAACTGATCGCTGTCTTTACATGGAACATATTTGAGAAAAACTATCATTGGGGGTCTTTCTTTACGCAATAGAACCCAAAATAATGATTTTTAGATTTTTTGTCTGTTTGTCTGTGAGTTTGTGCGCGCGCTAATCTCAGAAACGGCTCAACCGATTTGTTTCATAAATAAAAAAGTTACGTCAATTTAAAGAATCACCGCTAGTCCAAAAGAATTTCAAATTAAATGATTTCTACCCATAAGTCTAAAAAATGAATCATGACAATCGAATGAATCAAAACTCGACCATGATCATAATTGGAAAATTGAGGAAAACATATATGAATAGAATTTATCTACCTATATAAAACAATATCTGTTTCCAAAAGATTTTATGTTAACACTAAAGCTTGTCAATAGCTACTAAACAAAAAAAATCAAATGGTAAACAGAGGAGAAAAAGGTACAGAAGTGTTATTATTGCCTATTTATATATACATACATACATATTTAGACACAAGAAAACGTACATATGTATGTATAATCGAATAAGTAGGTAGCCTCCGACTTTTGAAGTACGATAAAAAATCACGTCGATTCCCCGTTTCTTTCCAGGGTGAAAAAATAATAGAAGACAAACCAACAAACATACTTTTGCATTAATATATTAAGTAAGAATGATCGCATCTTAGAAGTATAACTTTAAATAAATACACTGAACTATGGTTACATCACCGTTAAAGTGAGATAATAAATATGTAATTTAATAATTGTTATATTATGTACATAGTTATTGTGGTTTTAATACATTATGTAAATTATATTTAGAAGAAACTATTGTAAGTATGCGTGCAAAAAATACTTTAGCCTAGTCTTACACACGCGATGTACATTGTATGTACATCTATCATCTTGTATGTACATCTATCATCATGTATGTATGTATATATGTATATTACATCTATCGTTGAACATGTCTACAATTTCAACTCTGCAATGTCACTTATAAAAAACAATACAAAATATGCTCTATTTAATCCCTCCACGACCGCGAACACGCCGGCGTGTCAGTTAACAATAGATTTCTTAGAAATTTAATTAATTTCTTAGAAATTTACCTGAAAGTAATAATGTAAATATTATTATCGTACATGTAGGTGAGTGCCACTTCTAACGTTTACTCTATGATTATATTGACAGATGTTTGTGACCGATGGTTGGCGATCCGTGCCATTTCGTCCGCGACGTTCGGTAAAGCTGATCGTGAATTCCTTTACTTTTTTTTACTCTAATCTTAGTCGGTACTCGTCGTTATATGAAGTGTACTTTGTGACAATTCCATGGAGACCCATTGCGTCTGATTAATATTTTTGGTAGGAATTTGTGAGTAAATTTGATATATTTTTGTGAAAAATATGGAATAAATGATATGTAAAGTATGTGTTAGATTAACTTGTTTTTAATTTATGTAAATATATTTTCTTATAACCAACTAAACAAAAAATTAAATATTTTATATATGTACATAATATATTTTTAAATAATACATGTATGAAACGCGTAATTTAAATTTTTATATATTATATAGCTATTTATTCAGTACGTGACTGCATTTCATAATCACCTGTCAACGTTTATTTTTTAACACCAACAATATAAAGATAATTTTGCCGTTTCCCTAATGGCGGCATTCCTAGAGATAACCTAGATTGCCTTATTTTTGCGTTTCACTGTACCTTGAGTACTCATATTTTAGACATTAAAGTACCAGAGAATCTATTTTTAAACATTTTTGTCTTCATTCAAAAATATAAATCATAATCAATATTTGAAATAATTTAAAGCTTATTCATATATGGAGCTTTTTCACTTCCAATTAAGTTTCAATTCTAGCTGTAATTGATTTAAATTTTTGAGCGATGATTATAAGTAACACGACTATCACTTCACAGAATAAATTATCATCTTAAAATAGCGCACCTAAAATATAAAATATATAGACTCGTAGGGGTCTTTAACATTAGGAGTAAATAAAAAAACTAGTTAGACAACCTATAATCCATCACAAAAACCATTGGCACTGAATTTAGTTAGATGTTTGTACGTTGACCCTTAATATTTATAAGATTTCGTTTTCAGACAAAAAGCCGGTCCAAAAAACACCAAAAGGTACTCCTGAGAAAAATTCTAGGACCAACTCTAAGGATAGCTTGGCCGAGGACAATATAAGTCAAAGCTCTTTTGGTAGCGGCATAAAAGGAAAGCTCGCTGCACTTTTCAATAAGGAGCAAACGATAAGCGAGACAACAATAGCTAATAAGTTTAAGCAAGAGAGAGAAAGAGAGATGGAGATGCTTCAGAACAGATTCCATTATAAGGTAAGACCTGTTTTTTTTTTATTTAAATAAATAGGACTTCCAGAAGCTTTAAGCTGTCACATGTCACACCATCCTATACTTGATGGTTGAAAGACTGTAAGAACTTTTATTTTCGCAAAGTTTCTGTTCCAAGTTCTAGTTTCATTTTTAGTTCTGGTTAACTTTTTTGGTTAATATGTGCGTTTTACTATGGTTTTTATAAATGGATCTAATTAAATTAATTTTATATATTTATTAACAGCATGTACGGTTTCTTACATTAATAACCCAAAAAAAAAACATAACCTTGTGTAATAAGGAAGTGATTCATTAGATTTGATCGTACTCTTTTGTTTTGGAAAACACGCAGGTGATACCTAAGATTATTTACATATCCTTAACATATTTTATCCTCATATAAATTTAAACTATATTATGTGCGTAAAAGCCCATGCCTATATATTTTGAATACCTATTAGAATAAATAAAAGAACTATATTCAATTTAAAAGCCTTATCTTCTATAATATATTAATAGGCAAAGACAAAACAGAACCTAGCTTTTTCTCCTCTGTCCGATTTTTTTTTGTTTAGATTAGCAATTACAAGCTTTAGGGGTTATCAATAAAAGATTTTTGGAAACAGTTTTTTTTAATATTATGATTTAATTTCGACCACTAGGCGAACAGCACTAATGTACTTATATAATTCCGTTGTCATATGTCAACGCTTAAGCTATTATAAACATAGTTTGATGATAAATACATACATATATACTTAATACATCAACTCGTACATACACGCATAAACGCTAACAATATGGTAGTAGGTATTTCATAATAAATTATTTTTTTTAACAAATCTTAAGTTTAATTTTAAATAATTGCAATAGAATGGTATCATTATAAGTAAATGCTTGTGTTTACATACATAGGGGAGTATAAAAACAGATAGTGAGTGATCCTGAGTTTCTTTATATTAATCAAATGTACGGATCCTTAAAACACAAGCAAAATGTGAAACTGTCGAAATTAAACAAACAAGTGCTCGCCCAGTGGTCGAAATGCGACCATAATAGCTATTGAAAATTTGAGGAAAACATAAACGAGTAGAATTTACTGGAATCTGTTTAAAAACTAACTGTTCCCAAAAATTTTAATTGATAACAATTAAGCTCGCTAACAGCTATAAAATAAGAAAATCGGTTGACAAACAGAGGAGGAAAAGGTACCTACTGAACTGTTTTGTCACTTTCTGTTAATACATACATATATAGATAAAACATATTTCCCTATTAATCCAATATATTATGTACTTATCAAGTACTGAAGAGTATGTACAACTAGCAGCTCACTCTCGCTTCGATCGGGATTCGCCTCTAGAAAAACAAATACAAATCTATCCCACGGGATACATTTTTCCGGGATAAAAATTAGCCTATGTGTTATTCCAGACTATAATTAAATCTCTGTGCCAAATTTCATCCAGATCCGTTCAGCCGTTCTGGCGTGAAAGAGTAATCAAACATCCATACATCCACTCACAAACTTTAACGTTTATAATATTAGTATAGATGGTACTTACATTCATCAAATAAAGCAAGCAGTTTACGCTATTTCAATTTCTTCACAAACACACCGCCCTTTTCAAGCTATTCTCGTCGCCAATCCAGAATTTCTGTCCTGTTTTGTTTTTACAGGGCTAAGTGCACTTACCTTGCCTTTGTGACCCGGCTTTATTCTTTTAAACAAATACGTATGGTTTGCATAAAACGCCTTTAAAATTATTCTTTTTAATACTAATGACATACCTCCGCATTTCTCGAAGGTTTAGTGTTTTATCATTTAGGCAGCGGTTCATAAGTTGCTTTGTACAACACAGTGGCCAGTTTTGTTTCTTTGACTTTAATTGATAGTTGTTATGCTTTCTGCAAACACATTTTCATGGAGGAAATATTGCTAATAGCACTCAGCAGTAATGTAGCTTCCTATTAGTAAGAATTTTCAGAATCCGATCAGTATAGAGTTTCAGAGATTACTCTCTACATCCTAACTTACAAATTTTACAAGAGTTGTTAGTTTAGATGTTCACATTATATAAATATAATATACATACAATATATATATAGTGTCATTCATAGATATAATTAAACTAGCTACTCACCCTCTTTTGCTCGGGTTCAACCCTAGGTACGTTTTAACGGTTAGTATGGAATATAGCTTTCCTGGATAAACGGGCTATCTAATGCAAAAACAATTTTTCAAATCGGATTATTAGTTCCTGAGACTAGCGCGTTCAAACAAACAATCATTCAAACAAACTCTGCCTCTTTATTATAAAGTATAGATGTGCAGTAGAGTTCTACATATGAATTTCCTTTTTAAATTCATTCTAACTTTTGGCCTTATACTGTAAAATCAGATAACGCCTTACGATACAAAGTTTCGTTTGTTACTTACTATTGCTTAACAAATCTTGCTTTCTCACGTAAATATTTGTGTTGGCCATACCATTTACTGTGGTTTGCCCTAGGTGTTGGGAATGCAACACAGTAGTCGTTAATACCCGTTAGTTGTGGTTTCAGTGATGAATGTATGCCTCTATTTGACGATACTTCTGTATTTATAAATCTGTGTCAATTCCCAGTAAGTTTACGTACGTTACATACATACGTACATCTAATTTTAGTTAATCTATACATATAATAAAATTCTGAGTCGAATCTGTACATTAAATATTTTTTGGAAAACTCATTGAAATAGTCACTATTATGGATACAGAGGCCAAATCTATAGTTCTTAGAATTTTTAGCAATTTGTCTGTCTGGGAACGTATCACGGAGAAAACCACTAGATAGATTTTGATAAAATTAGGTATGATGATAGCTGGTTATCCGGATCAACGTATAGGATACATTTTACTGCGGGAAAATATCTCATCTTGGAGAAATGTATACTAAACGCCAAAACATAAGTAGGGACGAACACGAACGAAGCGAGGGTGAGTCGCTAGTTATATCTATATTAATATTATAAATGTCAAAGTAACTCTATCGGTTTGTATGTTGTTACCTTCTTGACGTAAAGAGCTGAACAGATATCCATGAAATTTGGCAAGGACGTAGATTGCATCCTAATACGGATATAGGCTACCTTTCATCCCTGTCCTGCTCACCATACTAGTGTAGCCGCTCGCAAAAATTACTAAAATATAATTGTCCCGTTAATTTATTCAAATTATAATTTGATGTAGATAGAACATACTTCACTCTAAGTTGTAATTTAAGAAACTCAATGATGCACTTTTATTTTGTATGAGCATAAAACTTGCGACCTCTGACTTATAGACTATTGACACACAGCATTAGCATATTTGAAATAACTTAGTAATGCATGCAACTTATTATATAAGACTAGCGACTCACCCTCGCTCCGCTCGAGTTCGTCCCTATTTACGTTATAACGTTAAGTATAGATTTCTCAGAGATGAGATATTTTCCTACAGTAAAAAGTATCCTATATGTTGACCCGTATAACCAGTTATCATCATACCAAATTTCATCATAATCCCTCCAGTGGTTTTTCCGTGATGCGGTAACAGACAGACAAAAATTCTAAAAACCATAGATTCGACCTCTGTATCGATAAAAATGTCTATTTCAATAAGAATTTCCAAAAAATATTGAATGTACAGATTCAGCTTAGTTAACATTTATTATATGTATAAAAAACCAAAAGGTACAAGAGCCCACTCTCGTTAACTAAACGTGTTAATTTTAACACTTATTCTGCAGAAGTTTCCCTTTCCCATGTACTATTTTTGAATAAGAGAAATCTGTTTCATAATGCATAGCAATTGTACAAATTGTATATCTTCATACACATAGTGTTGTACATATATTACTACAAAAACGATCATATTCATATTGACACAACGTATAGATCTAAGGAAGCCTTAATCCAATACTACGTTAATATGTGGCAGCTTATTCTTTTCATTTTTGTTGTATTTGACATAAATAAATACGCTTGTAAAGTCGGTTCCAAGTTTGAGACAATCAAAATTATTTCCAACTATTAAATATACACTTTTTGTTAATTTTCGTATAAAAATTCGCTAAGTGTCTGCCTGTATATGTACAATGTACATATTTGTTATTCGAATAAGGATATGCAGTATATGAGAGTACTTGATCAGTAGTATAAACATAGCAGCGATAATTTTAAATATTATAAATAACTTCTAAAAGGAAAAATTTGGAAAAAATAAACAAATGCTTATAAAAATAAACTTATATAAATATTATTAAAAAAAATGTATAAACATTTAGATTAATACTGTTTGTAAAATTCCACACGAAAACGTCAAGTTCACTTACATACGTTTTTGTTAATAATTAATCGATTTGGATTGCAAATATTGATTCAAACTATATTTTTATAAAAGTCTAAAATTTTATTCAAAACCTTTATTTAATATTGTGATGTTTTCAAATATTTAAAGTCATTGAAGAATTTTATGTTTATTATTAACCTTACTTTTTGTACGACTAAACACACCACAGATAAACATACGGACGAAATGTCTTAAAATGGCGCCTCTACACGTTGTGTAAATGATCATTTTAACTATCAGTATTTAGTATATTAATTTTAGTACATTAGATTTTTTTAATGATGTTCCTTTTTTTCTCTCCAGCCTTCAACAGCACAGAAACCAGAACATGAATCTGATGATGACCAGAGCGAACATGAAAATGAGAAAGCACCTTTAATGGGAAGTACTACGAGCTTGTCTCAAACTAATAAGAAACTGGAGATCATTGCCAATGTACCAAAAATCGCTGAGGCGAAATCTGAGCCGAAAGATAAGGAGGCTGAACATGACAAAGTTGTTGGTGCACAACCTGTTAAACGAAGAAGTAAGTTGTACCTAATATTAAAAATGGTGAATATGTTTGGTGGTTTTTTCACAAATCACAGACTAACATACTTACACTTCTGCATACATATTAGAACTAGCATTGCCCGCGGCTCCGCCCGCGTTCAGATGACCAAAATCCAAATTCTTAGATTTCACATATTAGTATACTCTTACATTGCAGTATTTGTATTTTTTCTCAGAAATGAGACATTTTTCCGCGGTAAAATGTATCCTATATGTTGACCCGGATAAGCAGCTATCACCATAAAAAATTTCACAGACAGACTGACAGACAGACGGACAAAAATTCTAAAAACTAGATTCGGGGCTGTATCGATAATAATGTTTATTTCAATAAGTTTTCCAAAAAAATATTTAATGTACAGTTTCGGTTTAGTTACAATTTTATTATATGTATAGATATTGTCCTTCTGACATCTGCACAGGAGATTATAATGCCACAAGTGTGTTAGCAAAAAGAAATGTACGACCGCTAACTTATCAACTTCGGCTTGCTACTAAGAATTTCTTTACAGAATATCAAATCAGCTAAGCTCGATCGTATATGGTACAACATAAATTTGTGATATCAATCTTTAAACTTACAGAAGCTATTGTTGTTTAAAGTAGTAGTGTAGTTCGATTGTAGGTAAAACTATTTTAAGTGCAAATATTTTATGATTACTCTATATGGATTTTGACAATGTTTCGATGACATCAATAATTAAAGATTGAATTGAAGAAGAAATTGATTGAATTGAAGAACTTGCTACTTCTAATAAAATTGTTGACTTTTTTCATATATTAAATAATTCTAATTCACCTTTTGAGATTTCGTAAACTATTCATTCAGAAAAACAACTATAGATATATAATCACTATTTGTGACGATATCACGTAAGGGGGTGTCCATTAATCACGTGATCTTTTTTTAGCATTTTTTAACCCCTCCTCCCCCATTGGTGATACGTAGTGAGGTTTAAGATCACCCCCCCTCCCCCTTCTCAACATCACGTGTATTTTTAGTACCTACAACGAATCTTAAAATTTTCTGAATATTATCTTAATTTATTGTACTGTATTAAACTATAATCTTATTTTATTCTGAAATTAAGGACCATAATGTCTACACCTGCAAGTTTTTTTATTGCCATAACAATGATAATAAACGAAGAGTGTAATCATAGGAAACATGTATTGTACTAGTACATGAATATATTTAATGTATATTGTCCTCGAACCACGGATTAGCAAGACATTCTTCAACACTAACAACTGGATAAGCGTCTTGCAGGTGTTTGACGAAAAAATAAATACTAACATACACTACATTGTGTAAAATACACCTAAATTAAATACCTCCCAACTTTTTGAAGTCGGTAAAAATGGACATGGGAATATATTTATTAATGAAAAATTATTACTTTACAGGTTCCCAAGACTCGCCAGTAGTTTTGTCTGTATTGGAAGATGTGAAAAGGATAAAAGTGAACGGTAACTCAAAGGAGAATGGCACTATAGTGCAGCAGCCGGGGTTATATCCACATCTGTCCGATATCGAGACGGACAATTCGAATACACAAGAGGAATATTCAGACTGCGGTGGATCTAGGTGTGGGCACTATGCTTTAGAATGTGTTTTCTTCTTTTTATGTATTTGAAATTATTGCGTCTTATATTGGTAAAGATTGTGTAAACTAAATAAAGGGCTCTCTCAGGTGATCTAGATCTTGCCCTCAAATTAACAATATGGTGCGCCATATGTACTTTTTTCCCCGTTTTTAAAAGAAATTGTTGATACTACTAGTTTAAACGGGGATTTATACAGGATGTTTAATATTAACATTTATTTTAATCTATATGAGTTACATCATTCTAAGTTATTCTAAATTGAGCGTTAGGTGATTGATATATTTCTAAGTAATATGTGGTTAACGATTTTCCTCAATAAATGTCTGCATAATAATATACTAAACAAGTGTTATTTTAAACACAAAGTTTATCAACACATTATAATATTACTTTGGTAATTTCTGACATATATCTAGAAAAGACAGCTATAGTAAAACCTCGCGTAAAGATAGGTAGGTAGGTACTAGATAGGTATGTTAGGTATTGCAAATTGTTTAGGTACTGATGTGAAATGCTACGATCATTCCAGATGGAAATGGTACCATTGACACCGACTTAGGTCCTGACTATATACGATACTAGGTCTTATATGATGAAATCAAGGCTGATATTATATCCTTGTGGATGGTATCATACAAGTATTATTTATGCGAAAGTTTGTGTGTATGCGTGTGTGTAATGTGTATGTTTGTTAGACCTTCAAGCTAAAACGGCTGGACGAATTTGATTGAAATTTAGTAGATAAAAGACCTTTGTAATACTTAGAGTACATATATTGTTAGTAAAAAAAATCCAAACGGTAGTGTGGCCTATTTATAATATTAATAGACTAGCGACTCATCCTCGCTTCGCTCGAGTTCGTCCCTAGGTCCCGTACAAATTTTCATCCCCATTTTCACCTCCTTAAGGGATAATTTCCGGAATAAAAAATTACTATGTCCTTCCCATGGTGTCAAACTATCTTTTTACCAAATTTCATCTACATCGGTAAAGTAGTTTTTGAGTTTATTCGTTACAAACATACAGAAATACAAATCTTTCCTCTTTATAATACTAGTGTAGAAGAGTAGATAAAAAAGGCACCTAGGGACGCGCCCGAGCGAGACGAAGGTAAATCCCTAGTAATCAATATGTTGTGCATATCAATGTCAATTTATAAAAAAATCTCAGTGCCTAAAGAATGATTGATTGAGTTTATACATGATTAGTATTGTATGGAAATTTTTAGTGCTTTTTTAACCGACTTCAAAAAGGAGGAGGTTCTTTCGAATGTAAATGTGTGGTATCTACTTTTTTTAATGTAGTGTTTGACGTTTATATTTTTTTGGAATGAGTACAGATTAAATAGCAGAGTAGACAGAATGACATACCTACTTATAGTATATATATTTGCAAATTGTTTTAGTTCGGGATAGAAAAATCAAACCTTTCTTATGTTAAAATGTATTGCATACATCATTACCATATTCCCAGTTACAATAGTTAAAACTAGATCTTGAATAGTTTGATAGATATCACATTGATTATAATCACACAGATCTAATACTTTACATTAAAACATGAAATTCTATAAAAAGTTTATCCTTATTGCGACGATTCATAAGGAAATAAATGTATACAAAATTATAGCTTCGTATAAAGAAATTACTTGTACATAAACAATCTTTAAGTGTGATTAATATCAGCATATTAGAACCTATGAAATCGATAGGAAGCACTCTAACCACTATGCCATAGGGTCTTTAGGGTTAGGATAACTTCAACTTTTACTAAACGATTTTCTAAGCATATTTCTGCTATATTAATACATATAATATTCCATATCTTCCACCTACTTAATATTATATATAAGAAATCTTGTTAAGTAACTTATTTAGTATATAGAATTTGCTATTGCAAATTTTTTTTTCTGATAGAACGATAGAATTGCAGATTTTTGTATGATCCTAATTAATTAAAAAAAAAATGAATATTTCATTCTTCTAATATTAGGCCCTCGCCGATTCCGCTGAGCTATAACTTTTGTTTATACCACAGATGGAAGTTGCTATTCAAATTTTAATATTAAAGTTTAAACTAACTTTATACATAGTTCAGGCTTATTTATCTTTTAGGTAATTCAAATAATTACGAAAAAGGTTTACTTTCAACGAGAGAGACCAAAAATCTTTATAATTTTCTATAGTTTTGCATTTGTACATTTTTTTTGTATTGGGCATAAGTACATTTGTTTTTAATTTTTAGTGGCGTATAAATAACCAGTGCAAATCCAATGGTCTACAAAAATCTGCTTTATAACATAGTCAATAAGGACTAAAACTAGACTTATCAATTATTATTATTATATAAGACTGTAATGTTGCCTGTTAGTTTAGATGTTTTGTACATAAGATTAATAGGTAGGTACTTACTTATCGTTTAGACGGCTTCTAACGGAAATAACATAATTATTACAATTTTACATAAACATTTCCTGTTTGTAAATCAAGTCAATTGAGTGTCCCTAATTATTTTAATATAATGGTAGAAATATTTACTGCTCTTTCGAAATTTGGGTTGGTATTTGGTGTTGTGTCACTTTATGACTAATCTAATGTCTTTAGTAGAAATTAAAATATTGTTTAAAAAATACCCTTTGAAAAATTTAAAATGACATATCTCCGTAAAAATAAAAAGTATTTGCAGCATGACGTACGAGCAAGTTACCAAATTTTCTTTATATTTTCTAACAGTAAATTTAAACAGTTGATTCGCCGAAAAGCACAAATTTACTAAACTTGTTACGTTTTAAATTATACCATACATATATATGTCTTAGATATAGTTCTTTGTAAAGCATAACATTCAAATTTTTTTTTAAATGTATACAGAGTATTTTTAACAGGTCACATAAACTATTAACAGAAATTGTGACTTTTGCGTTTTGAATAGAGATAAAAGAAGACAACTCGACTTTAGGAGTTTTGCATAAATTGTTTTAAAATCTTTAAACATAGGATTTTTTCCGTTATATGATACAGGAGTTATTCTATTATGCTTATTGACTTGAGAATTTTTATTGAATCAGTCTGTATACTATTTAGTATAAACACGTAGTAATATACTATAATTAACTTAATCTTCCTAAAAGCCTCTACTCGACATTTTAATAAACATTTATAGATTAAGTATATTTATTTTTGTCAATATGAACTTATTCATATTTTGACGCGTTTTCATTGTTTTTGTGCCAAATATACAAAACATGCCATAAATTCCAACGCAGTTTCTTGGTATAAAGGACAATTTGGTAGAAATATATAATTTATTATGTCGTAGAATAAACCTTTAACAAGAAAAATCTTTTCCAGGTTATATTTTAAGTTATTGTCTGTGATAATAGAAAAGTTTTCTATCAGATTTTGTAATAATATACTATTGAAAACAAAACGTATTTCATTCTCCTAATGTTGTTTTTCAGGGTTCTTTGTGTGCAATGGTTTGGTTGAATTTATTAAAATCTTACGATTATTTCGCCTTATGATTTTTATATGACTCGCCTTCGCTATATTATGGGTTTACCTTACATTAAAAACCTTTTGGTAACTCACTGATAATTCCCATAGAAATCGCCGTTACCGGTATTGCGTAAAAGTGGGACGAAATAACAAACAATTTAGTTTAGTTGAGTATATTAAATTATTTTAATACGTAAATATATGAGACATGTGTATACTGTTTGCTAAACACAGAAAATTAATGTAATAACAAAATGATGTTGAAGTGTGGGCCGATTTCGACCACAGTGACTGTTAGGACTGGATAGATTTTTATCTATTGTTGTAAATGGGATTTAAAGGGTAAAACAACCCTTTGATCGCTTTTTCATGACTTGCGTACGTTATTAGTAAAGGTACGTGCACATTTTGGGCATGATAATAGACCATCGATGTAATTATAAGTACCTAATGGCCACTAGTGCAAACGCGGATCCAATCCTCAAAAAGGGTGTGGTCACAGCTACCCGAAAATTGGCTAATTGTGTGTATCGGAGTACAGACTTCTCATGATTAATACATATATTACGTTTCCAAAAGGTACCTGTTTTACTCTGCGTAGAATAGAAAACAATCGCCAGCATATTTGTTTTAAAAAGCTTTTTTTTTTAATGTAATTAAGGCTTTGGATATAACATTAGTCTATCGATCTCGGGATTTAAGCTAACCCCTTTTCTTGACGAATATAGCAAAGTAGCTAATTAAGTATCAAAGATATGGTAATTGATAGTTTTTTGGACCAATACAAGACTTTATACATGATGTTTTTTGTAAAGGAATGTTTTTGTAAAGATAAGTTATATTTGTTTGCGTAAACGAAACCACTGGTTCTTGCTGTTTCCTTATTTGAATTTGAATTAATTTAGATTAAAATACTTAAAAAGTAAATAAAACAGTATTAGGAAATAAAAAATACAGTGATCTTGGTGTATGAATTTTTTTGTTAAACCTTTAAATAGTTTTTGAAACTTTGTCCTGCTTTTAGTCAGAAAAGACAAAAAAGTTCAGTATTTTTGAAGTTATACTTCTTTTGGCACGTTTGGAAAAAATATGAGAGTAAATTTTTACGACGCGCGCGCACAAGACAGCCAAAAAGCGACATAATGGAGTGAGTTGAAAGAGACATTGCTTTGAAGTTAGCTGGATTCCTTTTATAAACAGAGAGTTGTGACAGACGGGATAAAATCTTTAGCTATTTTTGTTCTGTTATGCCAAAGAAGTAGGTTTAATTTCTTACCGGACGTAAATACACATGCACCTTTTTTTTTATTTCGAACAACTTGATTCTGATGAAAACTGATTGTTGCTAATATCTTGTATTTTCTGGTAATAAATAAAAACAATCCTAGTATTAAATTTGATCAAACAGTAATTTGGAAACCATTAGTATGACAAATAAAGACCTCTTAAAAATAACGAAATCTGGTGCAATAGTATAGATATAGCGTTAGAGGAAAATAAACTACTATTACGTGGCTATCGTTAAATCATTATATATCATTATGTGCAATTTATAAAAAATGTCGCAGTTTTAATGTTAGGACTTGACATACATACATATATACATACATTACATCAGGCTATATCCCTTGCGAAGTAATAATAAATATAAGTATTTTATGTACTAACATAGAATAGGTATGAAGTGTACATTGTATATTCTGTTCTCATCTTAAGTAACTAAACAATGTTTTCTTATATACTCACTTTTGCCCAGGAACCGTAAAACCGGGTTCAATATAATAAATTGGTTACCCATTAAAAATGATTTTAGAAAAATCTTGTCACCCATTAAATGAGATACCCACTTTGGATTGAGATTGCAATACCTAATCGTGATCAATATAAAATGAAAAGCTTTGATTGAAATGAAACTCAGTTTTTTTTAAGTCAATCTATTAATATATGGAACATTTGTTCGATATCAGTATCTAGCCGTTTTTAACATTTTTAAAATAATGTATTCACAAAAATACAAACACAGCTTTTATAATATTTATAATATAACCGTAAAAATGCCATAAAAATTCTAGGCATTACATACTGTTATCTATATAAATTAACTAGCATTGCCCGCGGCTTCGCCCGCGTTCAGATGACCAAAAATCAAATTCTTAGGTTTTACATATTAGTATATTCTTACATCGCAGTTTATGTATTTTTTCTCAGAAATAAGATATTTTCCGGCGGTAAAAAGTATCCTATATGTTGACCCGGATAACCAGCAATCACCATACCAAATTTCATCAAAATCTCCAGTGGTTTTTCTGTGATACGGTAACAGAGAGATAGACAGACAGACAAAAATTCTAAAAACTATAGATTTGGCCTCTGTGTTGATAATATTGTTTATTCTAATAAGATTTTCCAATAATGTACAGATTCGGCTTAGTTACAATTTTATTATATGTATAGATTTTAAATTCAATTCAATTTTTTTATTTCGTGGCTTCTAGGAGAAAAATAATTATATTTTCTCTGCTAACGAAACAATGCCTAAAGTGTCAAAGACTCTGGTTAGAGAAAAGAATGGAAAATGTTTCCTACCACTAAATATATTTATATGACATCTTTGTTAGACAAAGTGCATCACGCAACTAATTTACTTTACAAGGAGAAGTATGTTGAGATGATAAAGAATTTATAATGAGTTTATTTACGTTTGAACGTTTGAACTCGACACTCATTGAAAAAATTAACTAGCGTTCTAATCTATACATAGTAACAAAGTCGCTGTCTGCGTCTGCCTGTTTATCCGCTTACTTCTTCTAAACCACGCAACAGATTATAATACGATTTTCACTAATAAAAAGCGATAAACGAGAATGGTTAGTGTATATAATCATTTGTTATTAATTTGTAGAAAATGGCTGAGCCTGCACAGTGTTTTGTCAAAACAACTTTTTTTGTACGATTACATGACTTAAGCAGGCTACATACGCTCACAATAACTATTTTTATTTATATAAAACATACAGAGCGTGTAAAGCTAAATCTCTAGTCTTTATATATAAAAAATGTTAGTCTGTTCATATCAAGTAGAAATTGACATAATATCTTCTTAGATTTACGCAAATATTTGACATTTTAAAATTAAACGGAGGGACTATCCCGTGACCATGATCGCTGTAAATCATTCAAAACGTCGGGAACCAAAAATCAAAATAAATCCGCGAAAAATCCGAAAAGATAGTTTTATCCTTATTTAAATGCTATGTACACTTATAATTGACATACATATAAGGTATATTATTATTACATTAATTAAATTGAAAATGTTTCATATGTATGTTGTAAGTGTGCTTTTTACAAATAAATAAATTGTTTTACCGAAATGCGACGATAAATATTACGAATGGCGTATCTGAAATAACGGTGGATAATAGGTTTTTGACTTACAGTCCATTTGCTAATGTACCTAAAGTATTAGAATTACAATATTAGCTCCTTGTTTTATATTACAAAATGCTATGACGTTCGAAGTTATACATTTAGAACGAAGAACATACGTGGTTAAAACGGTATGAACCCCCCTAAACCCGGAAAATATCGATCGCACGAAAACATTACCACTAAATAAAATATAGAGAATTGTATAATAAACAACTTTAGTAGTGTAGTCCTTACGATTTTTATCGAAAAATTGAAAATGGCCGAGATATTGGCGAAAAACTATTCCCCTTTAAAATCAAAATGGCGGCTAACGCACCGTTCGAATTTGGTCGCGATTTTTTTACACTTCCAGTGACTCCCCCTAAAGTGTGGTGAAATAAAATTTTGACCTAGAATTTTTTCGGGGTTAAACACTAACCCGACTGGACTATTACTCTACGGTTACTACACAAGGTAGCAGTTCAGATATGGAATACATATCCTTTATGTAACATCATTGGCGTTTCGCTCGTGGCGCATTACAATGTTGATCTGTAAGAGAATAGTATAGTGAAGGCTATTTCATTGATTAAAATAGGAATATAATACAAATGTACCTATATCAAATAATTATAAGTGAAATAGGGGGAAAAACTAGCTCTATTGTCAACGGTAGAGGCGATAAGACGTGATGTTGTCTTTTAAGAAGTGTTTTAGGTTTTTTTGTAGGAATATATTCATTGTAAATGCTAATATATTTGAATGTTGGTACTTGGTTGTTGCTTTTCGCTGAAACGGCTTCATGGACTTGGATGAGTGAGTACACATACAGAATATGATTTGAATCAAGACATAGGCTGTTAGGTACATCCGAGCTAAGCGACGTTTTGGCGTTTGTAATAATGTAAAATTTGCAAAAACGCAAGTATACGCATTCTAGGACGTATTTACTAATATAATTAATACTCTTTATTGTACACGCACAAAAGTAAGAAAAATTAGCACTAGAAAAATAGATTTAGTAGGACCTATGTGCAAGAGGTGGTTTTATCGCCAAAACAGCAATCTCTTACAGACAAACTTAAGATGGAATTTGCAAACTGTAAGAGGAAAGATGTGTGATTAATATAGTTTGTTGAAAAACCAATAGAATTATATTTTTTTAAATAATACTATTTTACATAGGTACATATATTAAACAAACCGTTGCGGTGACGGATAAAGTATGGTAGTTTGATAGCAGAGTCCTTAATATTACTAAGTTTTATTGAAGTTGACGGTTTTTTCATGATTACTTAAGTAATATCAGCTTTCCGGTTTAATTAAGTTGTAGAAAATTATTTATCTATCAAAAATTAATTTATTATAAATTTCCTAAGCGAAGTAAAGTCGAATCACTAGTGTATGTCGCTACAACTAGCGATACGTAAAAAATCTAAACACACACTAAGAACCCATTGTAAGCAGCATTGTATGGAGAATGATTTAATAATGTTATATTCCACGATGGTAAAACATTGATTAGTTGCAGTGTAATAAAATTTTATATAATTTTATTTTTAGTACTGAAAACATACCGGAGAAATTGAATAAATCTGAGAATTGGGCGGAGACTTCATTTGGAAGGGAGGTTATGAATGTAAGTTTAGTAATTATTGTATCTACTAACTTTCAATTAGGTTTTTTTTGTATGTTAAGATATATTCATCATTTGGAAATCATTTTGATGGTATTACAAAGTTCAATTTCTATATCTAAATAAAAAAAAACATTAAGTGTACACTAATAACTTAAAACGTGATCTTGAAGTTTGTATATTTTTTTTAATAACTTAATTTAAAGATTCCTAAATATTTTAAACACCTATAAGTGTTCTTGTATTTTTAAGGCGAAAAAGTGATATAATAAATGTTAATTTGCTAAGCTTAGCTATCATATATCTTTGACGACACATTTGGCTCAGTTTGTAGTGACCCTACTTGCTGTATCAACGGTCGCGGGTTCGAGTCCCGCTGGGGGCATTCATTTCATCAACTGTCTGGTATCCATAACTCAAGCCTCGTAGGTTACTATGGAACTAGATGGGCAGTGTGTTAAGGTCCAAATATATTTATTATTTACATATTCTTGAGTTATATTCTTCCTTCCTTTCCGTTGTAGGTGGTTAAGAAAAACAATACAAGCTACAAGAAAGCGGTACAAAGTGACTCAGACGAATCCGGCAGTGCATGTGACAGTGAACTAGATGAACTGTTGGATGAGGCTTTAGAAGAGGAAGGTCCGACGCCGCCCAAAGTTAATAAGGTGAATGAGGTAACAGTCTATATAAGATATTCATTCGATATGTATATTGTATTTGTTCTTTTTTTTCTGTTTTAGTTTTTCTTTATTTTGTATCGTGTTGTCAATATTTTCGGTCAAAAATAAATAAATGAAAATTACATAATGTATTATTGCATTCATAATTAATTATCAAATATTTTTGTGAACTAAACTATTATACTTGAATTGACCCAGCCTCGCTCGGCTAGGGTTCGTCCCTAGTTACGTTTTAACGTTTTTTGATGTACAGATTGGACTTAGATATTTATTATATGTATACATGTCTAAAGAAACTTCTATCCTTTAACTAAACTTTTATAAAAAGTAAACCTATAAAGGAATAGTTATATTTGTATTTAGAAATAATAATTATTATTAAACTTTGACGCCTATACATATTATTAAATTGTAACTAAGCCCAATCTGTACATTAAATATTTTTTGGGAAATCTTATTGAAATAGACATTACTATCGATACACATACAGAGGCCGAATCTAAAGTTTTTAGTATCTTTGTCTGTCTGTTACCGCATCACGGAAAAACCACTGGAGAGATTATGATGAAATTTGGTATGATGATAGCTGGCTATCCGAGTCAACATATAGGATATTTTTACTGTGGGAAAATATCTTATTTCTGAGAAATCGATACTAAACGTTAAAACGTAAGTAGGGACGAACCCAAGCGTAGCGAGGGTGAGTCGCTAGTTCCTTTAATATTATAGAAAATACGCCTTCGTTGGTCTAGTCACTAGTGACTAGCGAGTACAACTGAAGGTCCGGAGGTTCTGGGTTCGAGTCCCGAATCGGGCTAAGTATATTGGGATTTTTTATTAAGAAATTCCCAGTAACAGCCTGAAGGAAGTTAGTGATGTTGCAACGTTCCTAATGTACATACATACTTGTAACACAAACTGATATGTATTTTATATTTATTATTTAGTATTAAAAAATATAAAAAAAAATTAGGGCGTTGTAATATAATGGCCAAAAATAGTAACACTGCAAAAGCCTTTAAACAAAAACGAGATTTATACACTTGGCCATAATATTAGCACGCTTACAGCACGGCAGCCTTTCATCATCGAGTTTCGTGTACCAGGATAAGGCGTTCAAGTCTCCGCTGAAGAGCCAAGTGTCTTCCAGACCTGACAAGGGCAACGAACTCGTGCATAGCGTTAGCTTCTACAGACGTATGCAAGCTGTGAGTTATTGTATATTATAGCATTTTTTTTACTATAATAGGAAGGTTTTTGCAATAGTGCCGAAATTGGGAGATCGGAAATAGTAATAAACACCATTTTTAGATTTATATGAATATTTTACATTTTAAAGTAAAATTATTATTTTGCGCCGTTTTATTTTATTTATTTACGAGTAGGTAATAAAATAAAAATATAAAATGTTATTATTACATACATATATGTACGGTGTTTGACTTTAGTTAATCAGATCTATATATAGCTTGATTTGGAAATTCCTAAAATTAGCGTCATATGTAAAATGAAAAAATTAAATCTTTGTTTATTAAAAATTAATCAGATCTCTGCATTCTCTTTGCACATAATTTTTCGGTTAAAAATTGTATTTGTATTCCCACAGTCATCAACCCCCACCACACCCCTGCGTGTAGTACGCCATACGTCGCCGGAACGAGAAGTGCCCCCCACCCCCGAACCCACGGTCAGCGTGACCACCGTCCGTCAGCGCATCAAGGAGTTGCAGAACGAGATATCTAAACAGCAGACTGTTATATCACAGGTAAGGAGTTACTGTAATCTATAAGTTTCATACATTCGTTGTTATACTATAGTCTACTAATCCATACAATTATTTAACGAAAGCTAGATAGGGCAATTATGCAGAGGGAGACGCGGGGATGTGCACCCGAATGTCATAAGTACTTTTATATGAAAATCGGGAGATTTATTTAGGGTTGACAAAAGATGGTACTACAGCGTTTTTAGCTCGAAAACGTTCGCATTGAAAATTTATATTTTTCAAAATGAAGAAGTGGTAAGATTACTGCTAAAACAATAGGGAATATGCGTGTGATTTAAAGGTGAAATATTTCGACTGTCATATGTACTTTTATATGACAATCGTGAGATTTGTTTAGGGTTGACAAAAGATTGTACTACAGCGTTTTTACCACGAAAACGTTCGCACTGAAAATTTATATTTTTTTAAAATGTAAATTTGACGGGATTACTGCTATAAACAATAGGGAATATGGTGAAATATTTTTTATAATCTTTAGTGCTTTTGAATGAAGCCTATATCAATATTTTTAACTTAATTTCTTTTTGATTAAGAAAATAATTATTAAAAAGTGCAAATATAGGTGAGAGATTCAAAATAGTTGAAACGCAGGCCGAATACGACGTCAAAGTATTATCATAACAGAACGATGAGCGATTTTGTGGCTGCAAACAAAAGTCGTCATTTTTTTATGTATGATACTGTGACGTCATGCCAAGCGTGCGAAATGGCGGGCGTTTAAAATATCGGTATCGGTATGATATTTTTTATACCAATTTTTTTTTTGTAACTGGATATTTTTTTATAAATATATAACGATGTTAGCTATTGTATAAAAAAAAAATCACGCAGATTCCCTATTTATATAATAATTAATAGTTAATATTAAAACCAAAATCACGGGAAATCTAAGTGGTATAACAGTGTAATTATTTAACTTTACACATAATTCTAAGTCACCACTCAATTCTTACCAATTACTTACTAATCCTGAGTAACCACTACTCATTCTGTCCACAGGCTAGCCAAGCTTTGAACCTATGTGCTGCTACTATAGAGTTCAGCGGATCTACGGAGCAAGCAGAAGGAGAAAGACTGCTGTTATTGGCAAGTAAGTATATGCGGAGTGTTGTTCTATTACGACCATTTTAGGCATCTGATAATGATGACACATGATTTGTACTGTTAATTATTTTTTTCTATAATATAATTTGCATAATTTTATATAATGGTTTTAGCTTCATTTTAAATTATGATTATAATACTTTATTTTCCTAATGCTTTATTGCTATTAGATATTTTTCTGGTTTTAATATTAACTAAATAGATTCTTTTAAACGTGATTTCCTTATAATGAAATAATTATTACTTATAAAGTTATTTTGAGATTATAAAAATATTTATATTAACTAGCGACACATTACTCGTGTCTTTAGCTGCCTAACAATGTGTTACTACAGCTCGTAAGCCACTTGTATACTTCAAAACCCTCCGTCTCTTTCACACTCCCTCACACACACACAAACACATACTATCTCAATTACAATACTAATAACTAGCCCTATCAAAATCACAAAGTTTGATCGTTAATGTCCCAGCTCACCGGCGCCAGGCATGCCTGCACGAGGTGCAGCGGCTGCAGGTGGAGGGCGCGGGCGCGGCCGCCACGGCCGGCATGGCCACGCTGCACATGCACAGCCTCAGGGTTCCCTTGCGGAGGGAATATGTTAGACAGTTGAATGCTGGTGAGTTCATGTAACTTTACTGCTATATAGTGTTACCGCTGGTAATATAGTGTTACTGCTGGTTGTACAAATATACAGGGTGGAACAAATGAATGGGACGTGGAAGAAAAGTACCTTAAAGATTGGAGGTTATTAAAATTATTTAAAAAATAATAATAATTGCTTTTAATTATTTCTTTAAGAAAAAGCTTACCTGAATAGGGAATCGAACCAAAAAAAAATGCAAAAAAGGAGACCATCACTATTTTATCGAATTAATCCATTGAGTCTATGGTAAGGGTAAAATCTTTCCTGTCTGGTAGAGTGTTACTGCTGGTTTAACTAACGAGACCCGTCCCTAAATGGTGTCTATACATCATAACATGCAAGTCGTTATTTATTTCGCTTTCTAATATCTCCTAAATTATATTAGCAAATTACATCCTACAAGTGGTATATGCATGTTTACATAATATTTTATTGTTTGTTTAAGTTGGTTTCGAAGTATGACCATCGGATACAGATACGGTGTTAAACCGTCTTATCTCTTATACAATAATTATAATTTACACTACGGGACTTATGCCCGATTACACCAACATCACTTAAGCTACCACCTACGTATGGGATCCCTAGCTTATAAGTTCCCCTAAACAAGCCCCTAAATTAAATTTAGTTTTACCATCGTCAGAGTACGTATTTCTAGTACCTATATTTAGGTGGCATTTTAACATTTAGATGACCCCTAGTTAGGTTGTTGTAGTTGTCGGTGTAACAGAAACTGTCCCCTAACAGCCCCCTAACCATGCTTAGGGGATCCCTTAAACTTAGGTTACATTGGTGAAATCGGCCATTAAACGCGTGAATTTGTTAGTGGCTATACACCTTATATCCGACGCTTCGACTGCGTTGCTCCAGCCGTGGTCACAAGCATTGGCTCTTGTTGTCTTGTATGGAAATGAGTAGAAATAGTACAAAAAAGAAATTCCACGACTGTATTTTATAAATATATTTTTATAATTATTATTTCACTGCCAGATGGCGCAGTAGGTCACCACGCTGTGTGCCTGCTCAAGTGCCGCGACCGCGTGCTCGCCACCAGTATGCAGCTGACCAAACCGACCGCACACCTGCACTTCCCAGACGAGATACGTATGGACGGACTGACGAGCGATTTTAAGGTATGATTCATATGTGCTACGTATAAAAATTTAAACAGACTTCTTAGGTATATATGTATACACTAGAATGCCATTTAGTTTGAATATAACAGATTTCCATACAAAACTTCAACACCTTCTTTATCCGTTAAGAATTTAGACGTTGAATAAATATAAACTAATGTCTCAACGTATTTAAAAAAAAAATACTCTTTCTTAGCAGATATCTATGTCCTATAAAGAATTTTGTAGCTTTTGTACCTTCTGAGATTTTGTGACTTTACAAATATATGTTAGTGTTAAGAGCGGCTTTATCACTAAAGTGATCTCTTCCAGGCAACCTACATTATAAAGAAACTCATAGGGTGACATGGATTATGGTTGGTGCAGAAAAAAAGAACTAGTCTATAATAAACTTACTTAAACGGTACATACTATAAAGTACACACAAGCTTACATAAATAACAATAAAGACATACAAAAATAAAAAAAATATATTAAAATATATAAGTATAATCAGTAAACGTATATATTCTACAATAAACTTACATAAACAGGGCTTATATAAATATACATAGACTTATAGCGATAAATAATAGTTTTTAAGACGACGTTTGAATACTTGCACCGATTCCGACTGGCGAATGTCCTGTGGTAAGGCATTCCATAATATTGCAGCTTTTACTGTATACGAGTCACCACAGCTTTGGGTGCGACTGACGGGCAATGCTAATTTGTTGTCGGTTTGTGAGCGAAGGTTTAGGGAATGGATAGAACCAAGGAAATTAAACCTTGTTTTAAGATAAGGAGGAGTGTGGGAGTGAAAAAGGATAGTGTATAGGAGATTAAGGATATGCAAGTTCCGTCGCTGCTTAACGGTGAGCCATTTGAGTTGAGCTCGATATTGAGAAATGTGGTCAAATTTTCTTAAGCCATAAATAAATCGGATTGCCATATTTATATTTTATGGCGAAGTTATATTTTTCATTCGCCTGGTTGCTTTCTGATATATATATGTATGTATGAGTGTATATAAAAATAGCATATGTGAAACTCATCAACTTGCAAAAAAATTAGATAAACCGATTATTCGACATTTGATAATTGATAGAAAATTATTACAACCTTTTAAATAATATTGTACTTTATTATGTCTATTCACTTTCCAGGTGACAGTAGAGATCTATCTCTTGCAAGCTTCCAAGGAGGTTCTACCGCATGACGTTAAATACCACATCTCTAACAAAAAGGTATATTTAATTTTTTTATATAAACTAATTTACGAACGACAAAAACAAATCTATCCCACGGGAACCGTACATTTTTTAGGGTTAAAAAGTATGTACGTACACATAATAATAACCTTTTTTTCCAGGGTAACTCAAAGCTTCTTACCCCCAAATCGAAAGTATCAGAGCTTAAAGCCCCCAGAGTACAAAGCCCGGCCGGCCCGATGGCGGTGCGCAGCCCACAGTTCCAGCTGCACGGATATTGTATATTCGCATTGCCACAGGCTACACGCAAGAGCTTCACTTTGAATAAGGTAGTTATATATGTATATTTAATATAAAACTTTCTTAGATCTACACGAATATTTGACATTTTTAAATAAAACTATCTTCTGAAAAGTTTTGTTATATTTTTTTATAGTTAAATTTAACTTTTGTCTTTGTTAATGCTAGTGTTTATGTAATTACTATCAGTGGAAACTTAGCTGCTGTATATATTTTTATATATTAGTATCTTATAAGTACCATCTCATTGTTTGTCTTCCTAATGAATAATAAATAAATCTATTGTACAGTAGACTGTTTTACTCCAAATCATAATTTTCATTCAAATTCTTTAGAGCGTGAGCAAGTAATAAATGTACAAACTCTCAATTTTATTTTAAGATGCTAATATCCTATGAGTGCAATTTAATGTACTGTGATAAAAAAACGATGGCATCAGCTCTATTTTTGGTTTTTAGAGACAGCTCTGTCTTAAAAATCAGAGTCAATAGTTGACTGTTCTGTTTACACTATTGCTACGTGCTAATTTGTAGAAAAACAAATAGAAGAAACTCGTATTCGAATTTATATTGTTTAGAGTGTGCAACTGTACATTTTTGTTAAATACACACCTTTTTAAGACACGATAATCTATACATATAATAAAATTCTAACTTAGCCAAATCTGTATATTAAATATTTTTTGGAAAATATTATTTCAATAGACATTATTATCGATACAGAGGCCGAATCAATAGTTTCAGAATTTTTGTCTGTCTGTCTGTTACCGCATCACAGAAAAACCATTGGAGGGATATTGATTAAATTTAGTTTGGTGATAGCTGGTAATTCGAGTCAACAGATACTTTTTACCGCGGGAAAATATCACATTTATGAGAAAAAATACAAAAATGCAATGTAAGGGTATAGTAATATGTAAAACCTAAGAATTTGGTTTTTAGCCATCTGAACTCGTGCGGAGCCGCGGGCAATGCTAGTTTATTATATTTTATTGAAGTATGTTTGCATCTAGCTCGCAAGAACGCGATTTTTGATCGATGATTGTCACATACAAATCTATGCATTCTACCTCCAGGTACCACACGCGAGCCCTCTAGAAGGTTCCATCAACGTGGAGATCCGAGCTCGTGTGGTGGTGCCACCTCCAGAGCCTCACTCGGCCTTCCTCACGGCCTTCGATGACGTCTCGGGGCTCGGCGCCTGGCACCGGCGCTGGTTCCGTCTGCAGCCCCCGCGGCTGGCATACTGGAAGTACCCTGATGATGTACAGAAGAAGGTAATAAAAATGATTATTCAATTTTAAATAAAACTATCAGTTAGGATTATTCCGCGAATTTATTTTGATTTTTGGTTCCCGACGTTTCAAATGCTTGACAGCAGTCATGGTCACGGGAGAATCTCTCCCGTGTCCTTATGGTTGGATAAACTCAATAGTGCTCTGAAGTATGTAAGGTGTACCGGGATTGATGAAGATTAGATTGAAGGTTGATACCAAGCAAAGTGAACTAATATAATAAAATATTATATCGGGAGAGTCGATGACGACTTACATGAATTTACGCCCCAGACAAACCTGCCCATAGAAGTTTTCATTTCAAAAATTATAAAATATAATACGTTTTCAGATGCCAATCGGTGACATTGACCTAACAACAGTGACATCTGACAGAGCAACCAGAGCACCACGTGACCTCTGCGCGAGACCTAACACGATTCTTCTAGAATCTTCCGTACCAGCCGGCCTGATAGTGCCTGACAGCGGTTCTCTAGTCTACGTAAAAGGACCTGATGGAACTGTCAGACGGAGACACCTCCTGGCAGCGGATACTCCTAAAGATAGGGATATATGGTTGGATAAACTCAATAGTGCTCTGGAGTATGTGAGGTGTACCGGGATTGATGAAGATTAGGTTGAAGGTTTATACCAAGCAAAGTGGACTAATATAACTAAAATATTATATAAAATAATTTCACAACTCGTCAAATGTGACAATCTACACTAATATTATAAAGAGATTAAATTTGTAAGTTTGTATGTAGGGAATAATCTCTGAAACTACTGATCCGATTTTAAAAATTCTTTCACTAGTAGAAAGCTACATTACCCACTGTGTGCTATAAGCTATTTTTTATACTGATAAAATGTTTTTACTGTTAGAAATCAAACTAACTTTAATTGAAGTCGGACAATAATAATTAGACGTTGCTTTTTTGGTGCACGCTGCCTTAGTGGTTTCAAATAAAGCAAAAAAATGTATGGGAATAAAAAAGACTTCTAGGGAAGGATCCAAAAAAAACGAAAAAAGCCTCTAGAATGAATTATGAAATATTATGCAGTACTTAAAGATTTTATATATTTATCAATACATATATATGTATATGAGAAACGTTTGCTTTTAGTAAAGTTTCATCACATTCGGGTGATTGGTTTAGAAAGGTAAACGTTATAAACAAACGTACATTTTATTTTTAACCGACTTCCAAAAAAGAGGTTCTATGATTGTCTGTGTGTATCTTTTTATATATCAATTCTCTAGAGTTGGGCCACTTTTGCTCAGACAGCCTATACACAGACAGTATAATGTAGCTTTATATAGAAATAGCATTACTTGAGTTTCAGATTAGGAAAATTAAGGGTTTGAATGATTTAGAAATAAAATAAATTTTAACTTAATAGTATATAAGTTATTTTAGTTACTAACATTTTGAATGCGTCGTGCGTTTGGTTTTGTTCATTATTTCTAATTTCCTTTATAACGCAATCACATAGGAGAGTCTCTTCAAAGAAATCCGAAAAGATACTTTTTATTTGAAATTATATATATTTATCAACAATAAAATTACTATATAAATCGTCGTCTCCTCCATTCTACACGACATTGGCGAATAACAAAGAATTGAATTAAAGAAGAACAAAATATTTCATTACGATATGTATTAATTTTGGCTCATTATAATGAATGTATTTATTATTATTATTTTTAAATTTTTTTTATTGTATAATATAAAATGTAATTTTTACGAACTATTTTAATAATTATTCTAACAAATTAATTTGCTCGAGCAAATTTTTAGTTGTATAAACATTATAATATAAAATTAACATTTAAAGTAATATTTTATTATTAATAATTAATATTACCGCCTAGTACTAAACTACATTTAAGATATGAAAAAAATTGGCGAGTCTTTATATGTATTTTTTTTTTGTATGGACATTCAATTTTATCAAAATTGGAGATTAGCTTAAAATGAGTTTCATTCATACATTTTATTCTTACAATTATTTATATATACCCTTTGGTATATCCATAGGAAATGATATGACAGAAGTTTATTGTAAACTGATAACATCACAGAAAATAATATACTTTAATCGCTATAGCTAATAGAATGCAAAAAATATTTGAAAATATAATTTCTAAGCGTTCTCCAGTTTTCTATTAGCAGAGAAACCAATAGAAAATGAAATTCGAGTCTTTCTAGTACTTTTTACTGCCATGTACAGTTTTTCACGTCATTTTTTTTTTACTTTATCATTCTGTCTTCTCCGTTATATAATGATTTTGATAGGCAAAACATATTTTGACAATTACTTGAGTTGAGACAATCACGTACAACAATCTATACGTGTCAACTCTCCTGTTTCTCTTTTTGCTCAAGATTTTTGAAAATCATATATGACATTCATTGATAGATAAAATCATAGATACACATTTCCTAACAAGTATATCTTCAAAAAATGGCGTCGGCATGTTACGTTAAGTCAAACCAAAGAAAAAGATTCAAAAATCGATAGTTCTAATTGTCTATACACAAATTCAAACTTACGCACACCACATAAAGTATTTTTTTAAACGGAACATTGTGCGTTTTAAATTTTTCATCCGAAAAGCGTTGATCAAAAGATATTTGAAAAAGGTACAATTCAATTTCTAATTGTGTATTTAAGTTTTTGTATATCAATGGTGACATTGGATAAATAAATTGTGCTCAATTGGCAGATAAAAGTCACAAAATAAAGAATTGTGGAATATTGTTTTATCCTGATTTTCTTGTTAGTTTTATTTGATTCAATTATGATATTGTCCATTGGTGTTACTTTATAGGAATATGTTTTAATTATTTTGCTATAATTGTAATGTATGCAATAATCGTGTGATGGTTGTCCGCTGTACAATGTACATAAAATCAATTTATTTTAGTAATAAATTACTGTAATGTATATTGATTTTTATTGTTTTAAAGCTGAATTATGATTTAAAATATCTTCCCTATATCTTTCTGGCTTAAAAGTAAAATCATTTGCATTTTTGGAGTGAAACTTCTTTAGAATCGCGATTTGAAACTCGATGGAACTAAAATGTGGCAGTAGAAAGAGACTAACAAATGAACATATAGAATTGAGCCGGCGAGAGAATGAGATAGAATTGACATGTTGCCATGGTTACCATTGTTAGTGCCTGACAAATATATAATATTATATTCTTTCCATATATGTATATGATATTCTATAAATATATGATTGTAATATACCTTATTTAATTATTGATTTGTTTTAAATTAATTGCGATATTTGCCAAAGAAGTTTTACTTCAACCGCGCGTAAAGGTTACACGCACATATTTTTTTTTATTCATTATGTCCAGATAAATCATTAAAAGGAACTTAGTATAAAGTTCTTTAGTGCTAACATTAACTTTTGATTAACTTCAGAAAAGAAGAGTTTACTCAATTTAGGCGTGTCTTTTGTTTGTATGTTACACGATATCTTCTCTAATTGTTGAACCTATTTTAAGGATACTTATTACTAGGTTAGAGTCTAAAAAAGATCCCACCCATGAGGGTTTTCTCCCAATTTTTTTAACTCTTGAAAGTCTATGAATTCAATGTGTGTCCTTTTTAATTAAATTGCCTAGGATCTTGGTGTCTTACAAGTTAACTTCTACACGGTTAGATTGTCGGATAGACTCGCTAGCTATCGATATTTTATTGTTGTAAATTCACTCAATAGTTGAATTGGTGTTAAGTATCGATTAAATCGATTTTTTGTTATTTTTATATACGTTTTAGTTTAATATTACCGTCATATAAAATTAGAACAAGATATTATTAGTTACTACAATATGTGAGATATTAAATCAAAAACTTCATATTTATTAATATAGTCTTTAATGTGCATAAATTCTGTAATAAAAAAATGTTTTATAATTAACAATAACTCAACAAAGTTAATATGATAATTCTAAATTCTTTCTACACTCTAAGAGAGATTGCATATAATTTTTAAGCATTAATACAATTTATATTATATCGAATGAAATATTATTATTTAGAAGCTATTTCTCATCTTCATATGTAACAGGTATGTCTTCGAGTTCGACTCTTCGGTGTCTGTTGAGCTTGTCCTCTGCCATGCCTTCTTTCATTTCATGCTGAAAACAAGTGAAAGTTGGCAGCCATTAAATTATAACAACCTTTGACTACTGAAAAAACGAACTAAAGGATGTAAAAATTATGATTTATCTTCTAAAACCCAAAAATAACTGCATGTATAACATAACTTCAGTTAAGTTACTGGTTACTAAATCGTATGTGCGTGTGTCTGTATGTTTGTTACACAGATACATAGGTAGGATAGGACCTAAGGATATGCATCCTTAGGTACTTTTTAGGACAGTTCGTTGATATTATATATTTTTGTATTGTAGCTGCATTCCGTCTTCAACTATAAGCATTTGTGTTGGAAAAAAAATGGGCATGATCGATATGATCCTACTACTATTAGGTATATTAGCTAGGTATGTTTTAAATAGATACAAATAGTTATTAGCCAGCGTTAGCCATATACATTTTAAATATATATTTTTTTCATAAATTTATCTGATGTTTTATATTCTGCTATTCGTGGCGTAAACAAATCCTACAAATCAAAAACCATGAAAATCAGTCCAGCAGTTCTCGAGTTATAAGTGTTGTAAAAGACCAGGTTTTGTATTATATATATATATATATATTATATATATATATATATATATATATATATATATATATATATATATATGTGTGTGTGTGTATTCATGTATTCAGCCTTTCTTAACGTCCCACTGCTGGGCACGGGCCTCCCTTCAATATGAGGGGGATCAGGCCGTAGTCCACCACGCTGGCCAAGTGCGGGTTGGCAGACTTCACATGTCTTTCGAAAACTTGCTAGGTTCTCTCAGACATGCAAGTTTTACTCACGATGTTTTCCTTCACCGTAAGGCAAGTGGAAAATATCAGAGGTGCGAGACCCGGGATTTGAACCCGCTTCACTCGGTTACCCATGCGAGCGCGTCACCACTGGGCTACCACTGCCTTATATATAAATTACGAATATCTTACAACAAAATGCCGGCAGAGTCTCGCGAACTGGCTGCAGTCGAACACGGCGGGCGGCGTGCGTTTCCCCCCCGACCAGTCGCGACTAAAGGTCACCTGAGCGGACACGAGGGCCACCACCGCACACAGCGCCACTATTGTTGTACTCCTGGAAAACAGTAAAATCTTAACATTAGTTTTGAAATCTTTAAATTCATAAAACTATACCATGGTTATTTGTTGACTATTTAATGAATAAAAGGCAGTAATAGCGCGCTCTCTTGGGCCGATTGAAGCGGGTTCAAATCTCGATATCGTACCTCTGATATTTTTATGCGCAAATCATTTCTAACATGATTACCACTTGTCTTACGATGAAGGAAAATATCGTGAGTAAACCTGCCTGAGAGAACCTAGTCAGTTTTCGAAAGACATGTGTAGTCCGCCAACCCACACTTGGCCAGCGTGGTGGACTATGGCCTGAGCTCTCCTATTGAAGAGACAGGAAGGTTCGTGCCCAGCAGTGGGACGCTAAATGGGGCTGGATACAAATTCTATAGATTACACGATATTCTTGAGAATAACATTGGATTCAGGCCTTCATTGCGGTTAGATTGAGCTTCGCTGTTTTCGCTGTTGGGAAAGTCTGGCAGCTAAGAGATGTCGATACTGCTAGACTTGTTTACTTCAGCTACTTTCATAGCATTTTGTCTTTTGGTATTTTATTTTTTTATTCATGGTAGGTATTTTGTTGTGAGGTAATGCGGCGGATATTAAATATTTATTGTAATATTATGTACTAGCGGCTCACCCTCGCTTCGCTCGGGTTCACCTCTAGAAAAGCACAAACAGATCTATCCCACGGGAACCGTTCATTTTCCCGGGATGAAAAGTAACCTGTTGTTTGACCGGCAATATAAGCTATCAACATGCCAAATTTTACTAAATTAGGTGCGTAATTTTTTTAACTATCCCACGGAAACTCTTTAATTTTCCGGGATCAAAAGTAGCTGATTTGTTTTTGTCATGTATGAACTATATTATTGTAAAGTTTCATTTAAATCCAATCAGTAGTTTTTGTGTACTAAGCTGTATAAGTTGTTATAGTTTTTTAACTATCCCACGGGAACTCTTTAATTTTCCGGGATTAAAAGTATTGAAGATGTTGCCCGGGGATATAAGGTACCACCATGCAAAATTTCATTTAAATCGGTCCAATAGATTCGGAGATTAGCCCGTACAAACAGAAAAACAGACAAACAACTCGCTCGGGTTCGTCCATACCTACGAATATGTTGTTTTATCTCTTTAACCATTAGTCCAAATTATATGCAGTAAAATGGAAAAGTCTTTTGTTTTAAACATTTTAGACGATAAAATTACTTATTTTGATAAGAATTCAGAATTGTTGATAATATGACCAATGGACATGACCTACCGATTTAAATTATTTTTTCAATATAAAAAACTACTTTTTGTGACTTAAATATAAAAGTTAGACATATGCTGTTGCTGATTTTTTTGTAGGCAATATTAAGTTCTACAACTTTTCTCTAGAACATAATCATATACCTCTCATCGTTAAGGCAGCGTTCGTAAGAAACGTTTTCGTTCGACCGTTTTTTCTCCGACTTACTTTGCAAATCCGACTTCCACGAAAAAGCCTTTTCATTTTTCGGGTTAATATATAGCCTATGACACTCAGAAAGAACGTGGCTTTCTATTGGTAAAAGAATTTTGAAAATCGGTTCAGTAGATCCAGAGATTACCCCCTACAACGTCACAAACTCACAAACTCACAAGATCACAAACTTTACCTCTTTATAATATTAGTATGGATGTCCGACAAAACATCCATTGCTGTTTAAGACACAGTGACAGACACGAAATAAACACTAGAAATAAGGATAAACTGATAACGCCTAGCTTACTACGCCTTCAAAAAGTGAATAGATCGTTTATATATTGATGATATTGAGCTTGCCATTTAAACAATTAAGGTCTAAAATTAAAAATATATTATTGAATAAAGCTTATTACACCATCACGGAATGTTTTGTAGATGTTATTGTGTGGGACTAATGTCTGGTTGTGTCTCACGTAGGCTAAATAGATAATTATTTTAATATTGTAAACGAATATTATTTTAAAACAGCAACTGTTGCGTTTCTCTTGGGCCTTTCTCAGCAGAACTACCTTCCAAGGAGGTGGTAGATTCCTCACGAAATTACATACCTTAAACTTCAAATTACCATTTAATTAAAATTTAAAGTGACGATTCAAAAGTGGTTGTAAAAATCTATATAAAGTATGTACCATATTTTGATTTGAATTACTGCTTCATGCTTAAGCATTAAGGAATTATTTAAAAAAATGGTTCAATATCATGGTATAAAACAAAGTCGGGTTAGTTATATCATTTATAACTCAAGAACGACTGAACCCGGTTTTATGTTCTTTGATTTGTTAGATTTGTATCTGCCCCGAATAGCAGAATAACTTAAAACATCGGAAAATTCACAAAAAATTTTTTTACATCGCTAACGCTGGCTAATAACTATTTATATATAGAAATCGATATTAAAGCTTTCGCTGCTTGTCAGAATTTATTAATTACTAAAAAAAATAATTTATAAATTGTGAAGTTATTTATCTTTTGAATATATACTTACGAGTACGTACATATATTAGAAACACTATTTTGTCCCAAATAAACGACTACGTACGAACGACAACCGTAACAAATCATCAGTTAACAAACAGTATTGTTTATAAACAATCGAAAAAAAATATAGAAAAAAAAACTATTTTTTTAATAAAAAGCTCTTCAAAGAAACATATAGACTAAAAACAAATAAACTGACCTGCATTTAGTGAGATGCATTTTGCAATTGCTGAAATTCAAGTGATCCTGAAGGAATTTTGTACTCAATTGAGGACTGTAACGGCGCCTTACCTTTTATATACGTACCTTTGTTGTATTGTACTGCGCATCTCAAAGAGAGGACACACAGGTGTTTGATATTCAAACAAGCGGCTACCGTTGCCGATATGTTTATTTTTAACCGAGTTCATGAAAAAATGTACTATATACTTTACAGTTATATATAAATATTGTACCTATATTATTGAATTTTACCGACTTAAAAAATTAGTTTATTTTTTTTAATTTTACCAATCGTGAATCGATTTTAATATTTCTTTTTGGTGTATGTATGTGCATGTAATAGTTTCGTACTTACTTTCTTTTTAATCTATACATTTAATAAAATTGTAAATAAGCCGAATCTGTACATGTTTTTTGGAAAATCTTATTGAAATAGACATTATTATCGATACGAAGACCGAATCTATAGTTTTTGTCTGTTCTTCTGTCTGTTACCGCATCACAGAAAAACCACTGGAGGGGTTTTGATGAAATTTGGTATGATGATAGCTGGTTATCCGGGTCAACATATAGGATACCTTTTACCGCGGGAAAATATATCAAATACAAAAACTGCAACGTAAGAGTATAGTAATATGTAAAACCTAAGAATTTGAATTTTGGTCACCTGAACGCGGGCGGAGCCGCGGGCAATGCTAGTATACTATAAATACCTTAACAATGGTCAGTGATTTTCAAGTCTGTATAAAATTTTTATAAAAAAGTATCTATTTGTTTGTTTTAATTGGTCAGTTTTTCTTTATTGACTTGGAGGTCAATACTATTTCATTAGCAGTTGCCTACTAGATTTTTTACTAGGTTATACTAGGTTATATTCTTTCCATAAATGTTATTCTAATAAATATATCATTGTATTATGCCCACAAAATTCAAAAATCCAAAATCAGGAGTATTTTATTTAATGAATAACTTCATATAAATATTGTATATTTACCCCTGAATTAGTGCATCAAATATTTTTATTTTCGACCATGCGTATAGGTTGAGCTTTTTTTACTATACAGTTGTATAAAAAGGAGGTCGTATTTAATGGTGTCTAACCAAAAGCTAATCGAATAAAAACAGGACCGAGCTTGTGTAAGGTTTCGCTATTTTAATGTATAATAAAATAGTCATTAATTGATTATGGCTACACTGACCATGCGAATGCACAAATTACAAGTACCTACCTTTATAAATCAGTCAGTTTAAAATCGCTAGAATGGGCAGGCCGGAAAAAAAAGAAATAAAAAGAGTTGTATCCATACGAATATTATAAACGTGAAAGTGTGTTTGTTTGTCTTTCTTCCACGTCGAAACGGAGTGACTGATTAGCGTGATTTTTTGTGTGGAGATAGTTGGAGGGCTGGAGAGTGACATAGGCTTTGTACCGCGGTAGATTATCTCATTCCCACGGGGAAACACGTTATAATACTTAATGCTTTTTAACATAATTAAATAAATATGTGTTTCAGCATTTTTCGAAATTCATCCCATAAGGGGGTAAAATAGGCCATGAAAGTTTGTATGATACCTTTTTCGAGTTTTTTTGTAGTTTTAGCGGTTCTACTAGTTTCTTATAAAAACGGAAAGACTAGAAAAACTAATTAAAAAAGGGGTATTGGTTGTCGGGGAGTTGACATGGGTGGATGCTATCCTGTGGGGGTGAAGGTGCCAGTGGGCGGTCGACTTGGGGAGGAGGCCGTCAGGGGTGGTCGAACATCTCAGCCCCTGACATTGGGACGGGCCTTAACAGGCACTCGCCGTCGGGGTCGCGGAAGAGTCTTTTTGGTACCCGTGGTCCCGGCCTTAAGGTGAAGGAGGTGCTTTGTCAGATTTTTTAGTGGGTAGGATGCCGCGCGTTCACCATCTTTGCGCGGCAGGAGCCCCACATAACCCATCTCGCATCCCCCATTGGCGAGCGGGTACCCGGGAACAGGGTTTTTCCTGACAGAAAAAAAATAATATTTAAAGAGATTCGACTCGGCTATAATTTTATTATATCGTCGTTGATACTGCAATATCGCGTAACCAACAGTGGCTAAAACCGCGTAACTTGGTAGTGATAAATTTTACAGCAGAGAGAAAAAACTTAATATTTTCATTATTACTGCATCTTTGGCCGACTGAACTGTAAAATCTATTTATATTTATGTATTTTATTTTCTACTAGCATTGCCCGCGGCTCCGCCCGCGTTCAGATGACCAAAAACTAAATTCTTAGGTGTTACATATTAGTATACTCTTACATTGCAGTTTTTGTATTTTTCCTCAGAAATAAGATATTTTCCCGCGGTAAAAAGTATCCTAGGATCGCGCGCTACATCGCCCGGTTTATATAGCTTGAGCAGGCGGTCGAGCGATGCGGGGCAGAGGGGATGGACTCGCCGTAGGCATCTCAATGCTCGCCAAGCATTAAAAATGTTTCGCTACTAATTACTTCTAACAACGATAACTCAAAAACTATTCATCTGATTGATTTAGTGTAAAGAGCAATTTTAATCTGCATTAAATGACTAAGCTAACTAAAATATTCATTTGGATAAGGATTAATACCGAACTAAAGAAAATAACTTTGAAAATAACGTAATGTTTTTAATTAAAAATGTTAACATAAAAGTGGTTATTGTAAGTCAACCGTAAGAGATAGAGATATGCTATCGCGGACTTTTTTGTAGCATTTTTATAGATTTTGAATTCTCTAGTACATTACTTAACTGTATCTTTGCTAGTTTACGCGGCGTTCGCGTGGAAAGTTCCCATTTGGCGAGATTTTTTGCGACCTCTTCAACATTTGTCGCCGTATTTCAGCTAATTTACATAAAAGCATAATAAATTATATACCTAAACCTTCCTCAAGAATTACTCTTTCTATTGTTGAAAACCGTATAAAAATCCGTTTAGTAGTTTTCGAGTTTATCGCGTACAGACAGACAGGAGGACAGACAGGAGGACAGAAAGACGCGGCCGGGGGACTTATTTTTATAATAAGTATAGATTAGGGTTCTTAAGTTGTTAAATTCACTATTTGATTAAAAAATACACTTTCTCGCTATTGCATGTTCAAAAATGGGTCGCAGTTGAGCATTTTTAGTAGTTACGCGTAATTACAAAAAGCATGAAAATAAAAATTATGTATTTTAAGGATCATTTATTACTTAAGTTTACTTAATTGAATAATAATTATTATATCTCAGATAAATCAGTCTCAAAATGTCAATCGTTTTGACTACAATTTTACTAACTTAAGAAGTAGAACCAGTAAAAAAACATACAAATAAACTGTAGAAACAAAAATGAAAAACTTAAATTATTTAACTCCAGAAACAAAAATTAAACTATATCAAAATCTAGTAACATCAATTATAATAGGAACTTCAATATAAACTAGATCTAATATTTTGAAATAGAAACTTGCTTATTTTTTTTCAAACGGTAAACTATCATAATATTGGTGGCAGTCACTAGGAATCACACTCTTTAATTGTTGTAAATGCTCATATTTACTCTCTAATATTGGCAATCTAGAAGAATAAAAAAATGGTACATCGTTTATCAATGTTGAAATATTCTTTGGTCTTCGAGGTAGTGGACTAAATTTATCTTTAAAATGTTTTTTAAAGTCGATAGTACCATTAGGATTATACTTTAATATGCGTAGATCTACTACACAGTTATCGCCAGAAATGCGCCCAGGCCTTATAGAGTCATAAATTTTATACTCTTTGACGCTGTAGTCTTTGAAAAAGGTATGATCTGGTTGCATAACTTTATAGAGAAAAGGTTTTTTTCTGGCCTCTTTAGTCAAAGAAGCATACTGTGATGGCAAGAAAATTTCAATATTTTCAAGTTTTCTTTCAATAAGTGAATGAACCGAATCTAACTCAATTTGCGTGTGTCCTTTTTCGAGGTACTTTTGTGTAATTGTAACATTTTTGTCCATTACTAGTCTAAGAAGAGCGTTAGAAACAACAGTGTTTCTGTTTTGAGCAGTGCATCCGTCAGTCCATATAACTACATCTTTAAGATTTCCATTTAACAAGTTTGTCAGATAATCTACAAAAAACGAAGCATAAGTTGTAGCTTTTCGATCACAGGTTGTTTCATTAAACCAATAACATGTAACATCATCTGTACCTAGATTATAAACAGTGAAGTTATGTACTGCTAACTTGGTTTTAAAATATAGCGCACTAGCCGATAGAGAAGGACACAGTTTTACAGCTTGCAAATCAGCAGTTATGGTATGAACTTGCCCAAGTTTTGCAAGTTCTTTGTCTTTGTTCTTTTCGGATCGAACTAAGTTTTTCAGCTGGACGTGACGGTGGTAATCTTCCTCCCGAACGTTACCTGCCTTGTATGAACAGCAATAGTCACAGGCATCTTTTTTAGGTTGAAACAAGGCGATATTTTGCTCCACAAGTATGTCAAAAAAGAGCTTTCTCGAAGCTACTAGCTTAGATGCTGAGGAGGCATATTCGACATATAAGTTATACAACTGTGACTTGGATTGTATTATAGGATCCACGTATTGTTTTGTGTTTGTTTGGCGGCAATTTGGGCAATAAGCTCAGGTAACTTTTTACAGAATTTCGTTTAGAAAAAGGCGAAGTTGGAGACAAATTTGTATGAACAGAATTATCATCTGCTCTTCCACATAGCCAGTAGCGAACAGTCCACTCCTTTATAGCTAGTGTCGCCAGAAATATTTTCAAGCAAACTCTTTCCTTCTTACCATATATTTGCAGGTAATATAATCTTGTTTCCGACCGTCTAGATTTACTTTCTGTCGTCTTCCTTTTTATACTTTCTGTGTCAACCATAGACTTCAACAACCAAAAATTAACATTTACTTACCCGCAAGTCCAATATTTCTTCAAAATAACATTTATATTCACGAACCGCAAACAAAATGACCATTCGTTCTATAGCATGTGGCGCAGTTACGCGGTATTAAAGTTACACTCTCGTGCGAGAGCTGCCCTCGCGGTTTTGGCTAGTGTCGTTTCTAGCGTTTTGAGTGGATAACGCGCTCATCTGACGACACGAGGCGAAGGCAATCACTATCAAGAGCATATATGCGCGAAATCTCAATTTTGATTTTTTTGTAGTTCCGCGGTATTGGCCACTGTTGGTTCCGCGGTATTGC